TTGGCAGCGCGCTGGGCTGCAGAACCAGCTGTAAGTGTGTTTTTTTTTTTTGGTTGTTGCCCGTGATAAAATGGATCCTGTGTTGATTGCTTTGTAATTACGTGTGCTTGTTACAGCCTGAAGCGTGCGTGAGGGCGAAGGGGCGACAGGAGCGCCCTGTGGGGGTGTGCCACCCAATGCCGCCGGGGCCCTGGCATCACCCCCAACCGGGGCCATCAACCCCGCCCGCTCAGCCCCAGCCGGGGACATCAAACCGCCCTGTTCAAGCCCGTGCCCAGCAAGGTGTCGCCGCCCAGGCCACCGCATGGCTCCCCGCCCAGGCCCCAGCGCAGGCCCCCGCCCAGGGTCAACCTTTGGCTCGTGACGATTTGAGGCACCAACTGAGGAACCGCGGCCAGTCCGCCGCCGCCGCCCAGGCGCCCAGCCCGCCACAGGGCGAAGCATGCAAGCTGCAGCGTCGGGGCGAACCGCCATTGTTGTAAGTACATTTTATGATGTGAAAATTTACAAGTATATTACAGAGGGGAGGATTCTAATATAGTTGTACTTTGTTTCAGATTGACCCTATTGTGACAAAGAGGATGAGGAAGTAGCCCCTCTTTACTCACTTTTTAATCATTTTCCTAATATTTTTCTAACATTTTTTCCCAAGAAAAATAAAATCATGTTTGAGCATCATTCTCTGTGTTTAATTTTTTAAACTACCTCAGATTGTCACGATCAAGTTTTGGTTGAAGTGTGTTGTCTAAACACTAACTCAGTTTAGTATGTGATGTGGTTTTAGTTTCACATCAATTAAACAATGGTTTAGGAGACATTTTATTTTAAAAAAACTACAAATCGCAGCATATAAACGAAAGACCCTTTTATTGAGAATAAACTGGGCTCCAATTTGGCGTCTGCACATATAGGGAACGTCTCCGGGAACCCGATCATCTTGGCCTCGAAGTCGACGGTTGCACCTTGTCGTGGCGTGCACGATTTGAGCTGAACGGATGGACCTGCGACAACGCCAAAAAATGTTCTTTACTCTTAAAAGGTGCGGCTATCGCATGACGAGAGCGATTTAAAACTACAAATCGCAGCAATATAAACGAAAGACCCTTTCATTGGGAATAAACTGGGCTATAATTTGGCCTATGCACATACAGGGAACGTCTCCGGGAACCCGATCATCTTGGCCTCGAAGTGGACGGTTGCACCTTGTCGTGGCGTGCACGGTTTGAACTGAACGGATGGACCTGCGACGCCAAAAAATGTTCTTCACTTTTAAAAGGTGCGGTTATCGCATGACGAGAGCGATTTAAAAAAAATATTTTTTTAATGTTTTTTTAAAAAATGTCAAAGTTTTCGTAAAAAAAAAGGGATCAAAATTATAACACATTTTGCCTATTTTCGGTACCTTAGAAGTGAAATGTCGAAAAACGCTCTCGTCACGCGATAGCTGCATCTCTTAAGAGTAAACGACTATTTTTGCCATTTTCGCAGGTCCATCCGTTCGGTCCAAATCGTGCACGCCACGACGAGGTGCAAGCATCCACTTCGAGGCCAAGAAGACCGGGTTCCCGAGGGTGTGCACTGTAATGTGCATACGCCAATTTGTAGCCCAAGTCATTCTTATAAAAAGGGTTTTTCGTTTATAACGCTGCGGTTTGTAGTTTTTTTTTTTTTTCAAATAAAATATATTCCAAACTCTTGTCGACCCTCGTATTTCACAGATCTCCCCCTTAAATTCGCTTGGGCACGATTGGCTTTGCCATAAGGGGCCATCGTCAAGAAAAATAAAAAAAAAACTTCCGGGCGAAAGCAATAGCCACCGCTCAGTCGGGGGCCTGAAAATTCTTTATCGATAATCGCAAAGACCCCAGACCCCTCTCTAACTTTCTTATCCTTTTCTTTATGTTAAACGTGTTCATTTTCACCGTGTTTTCGTCGAAAAATCCGCTCTAGCGCCCAAGCCCAAACAGTGCAAGTTAGAGCCAAATGGACAAAATTTTATTCCTAAGGCTGCTACTTTCACGAGGTTCCCCTTGGGAGACCGTAATAGAATTATTTTTTTCCTAAACTTTGGAACAACTCCTATTTCTTTGTCACACCCTTCACACCCTTAGGGATGGTTGACAGGATTGGCCGAAGGCGTTTCGTTTCCAGGGAGTGAACCATAAGATACCCTAATTTTTTAGACCTTCAGCTCATCTCCTTCCTCTTACAGGCACGACGGACGGACGGACACGAGTGCGGTTGCATACGCCCGCTTAAATGCATTTTTAAAAGCAGAAGGGCGGGCTAGAAAAAGAAAACAAGTTATTGGCTTGTCCTGCTCGTCTTGCTATCATCACCATTAACCGGCCTTGTCTATGTAACATTGGAAATGTCAGAAAAAGTTGTGGGTGCGTGAGGAAACTGACTTGGAAAGGGGTTATTTTTAGGTTAGTGCATTATTTTTTTCTGGACTGTTGCCGATTGCATGACTGTTAGCCCTCATCATTTATTTATTCTTTTCAGATACGCTTGGACACCAGTGTCCAGAAAAGTGAAAACAAGGCTGCCATGATAGATTTTATCAAATCGTATTATTGCAAGAAAGACGCAAAAATTAAACGCATTCCCAAGCCTGACTTACAATCGCTTAACTATGGCTCAACTCAAGAGCTTGCGTATAGTTCCCGGGTTTATGTGTCACAAAGTAAATCAAATCGACGCAGCCGTGCAACACTGGCGAATCTGAAAAGGAAGGACGAACAAAGGCGAATCTGAAAAGGACGGACGAACAAGGGTGAATCTGAAAAGGACGGACGAACAAGGGTGAATCTGAAAAGGACGGACGAACAAGGGCGAATCTGCTAAAACCTACTTCCGGGATATTAAAGAAAGAACTTTGAAGGCCTCTCACAATTCACAGGTGTGTCGTATCAAACTAGGAGGTGTCTCATTTTAAACCCTGCAAAAATCTGAACAGCTTTTGCAAAAGTGATATTTTGCTAACACATATAGTTCGGAAGTTATCACGATGATAACAAAATGTTGATATTATGAAGGACACCAAAGTGGTGTTTCCAATCGGCCGGGCGAGCCAGCCAGCTGCCTTACCCGGCACAGCCCGTCTCTCTCCCTCACATCTAAGTGCACATAGGTGGGAGAGAGACAGACTGTGCCAGGCAAGGCGCTCGCCTGGCTTGCCCGCCCGATTGGAAACACTACACCAAAGTGCCGCTGATGCATACGTTTATTGGCTGAGCGATAGCGAAGCCTATTAGTGTGGATTCAGGCGTGATTTTCACGCTTCGTTAGCTTCACGCAGCCAATCAAGGATCGACTTTCATCACGCCAGGCGTGAATATAACGCTTTGCGTGAGAATCACTCTCGCATTTAGGGAACTCTGAATCCACCTTTACTCCAGTGATGATCAAAAAGTTTCGCGTCCGTCTGTCTGTTCGCACGATAACTCGAGAACGGTTTCAGGTAGAATGCTCAAATTTTTATTGCATTTTTGTTTCATAAAAAGGAAGAACTGTATTGATTTTGAACCCTCTGGCTCAAAAATTGACGTGTCAAAAAAATCAAAAACCAAGAGCCCAAAACACTTCTTTAAAAAAAAAAATTTAAAACATCTTTCTTTCTAAGACGGAACTCATTGAAGTAGAGCCCTCTGGGCCAAAATTTTGTCCGTTTGGCTTTATCTTTAACCGTTAAGGCGCCAGACGGCGTTTTCACCAGAAAATCACCCTAAAACATTGAATGTTTTTTCTCAGATATTTTATGGTCTCCGGTGGGGTAACTCGTCGAAGTAAAACCCCGAGGCACAGCATTTGTGACTGACTTTTGGGGCCGAAGGCCTATTTACGACCATGCCTTTTGCCCGACTCCGGTCCCGGTGTCAGCGCTGCAGGCCTAGGTAGATGTATGTATGCCAGGCGCGTCGCAGCGTAACAGTGTTCCGCGAGATATCGCGAAGCTTGTTACGCGAGACGTGGTGTGGCGTATACATCTACCTAGTTATTTGTAACGCCGTCATTCGTCAGACCTGATAGCGCCTAGAGGGTAGGCATCACTCTGTTCCGCCACACTGTTGTGTCGGGTGGGTTTCCCATTCCACCAGTCTTGAAGAAACACAGCATCTGCTGCACCTGCACGCTTCTGCGACCTTTCCGGTCCTGCCTGGCCTGCCCCCCCCAGCTCTGGGGTACCTCCAGGATTATGAGGTCATGCTGCACCCTCCCTCCCCGCCGAGGCACCTCCGGGGCCTTGAGGGCGCCAAGCGCCGGCCTCGTCAGCCGCCCCTCGTCCAGCGCCGGGGTCACGATGTAATGCTGCAGCGCGCCTTCCCGCCAGGCCCGCCATGCCCTCGCAGCTCACTGCCGCTCACTGCCTCGCGTGGTTCAAGAAGTAGAGAAGTAGTACAACTTCTAAGCCCGCTGCCCGACGAACCGGACTGTAGGGTAGTTTGGAATAAACAATGTGCATATTTGAATAAATAAGAACAATGTACGTATTTTCATTCACATTTATTTCTTTTGTCTTTATGAACTCCTTTAAAAGTCAGTCAGTATTCATCCCTTTAAAAGGAAAATGAGATCATTAAAATTTCAGACATGTTATCACTGGACCCATACAATTATGGTGCACTAAAACTAAATGAATAATTAGAAGAGTAACCTTATTACAGTTATAGTGAAACAATATTTACCACGTCTCGCGTAACAGGCTTCGCGATATCTCACGAAACACTGTTACGCTGCGACGCGCCTGGCGCACATATAGCTAGGCCTGCGGCGCTGACACCCGAGACGGGGTAAAAGGAGTGTATATACAATTTTTCGAAATGAAGTCTTTTTGTTAACGTTTTAATCGACCATTTGATCATTTTCTCCTCATTTTTGTCAAGAAATGCCCCCTAGCACCTAAACGGTACAAGATAGAGCCAAATGGACGAAATTTTCGCCCGAAGGGCTCTACTTTGACGGTTTACCCCTTAGGAACGCATAAAAAAATATTTGATAAAAATACATTTTGCGACCTGTAGTTTTTGATTTTTTAAAAAGCCAATTTTTGAGCTAGAATGCTCATCTTCGAACTCGATCTGTCTTTTTATGATACAAAACGACCCTGAAATTCCCAGATCACTCTCTCAATTCATTCTCGAGTTATCGTGCGGACAGACAAACAAACAAACAAACAGACAGACAGACAGACAAACAAACAAACAGAATGAAACTTTTCCGGTCAGTGGAGTAATGGGCTTCGCTAATCGCTCAGCCAAAAAAGAGGACAAGCTAAGTTAAAGCTTTCAGTAGGTACTAAAATCACAGTCATGAATCTGACTATTGGAAACATAATACCTAAAATCACATAGGAGGAACAAAATGAAAATTAAATTACAGTTTTTTAATTAAACTTCTGTAGATATTGGTTAAACATTATCCAGCATTCTCCATCAAAAAATGTAGTACTAAAACTAAATCAATATGTATTGACTGTACAGTCATGGATCCTAACTTCGGACTAGCGCACTAATGTCGGACACTTTGATGTTTTCTACTAATAAAGCCCCTAGAAAACGGGTATTCGGAATATAACTTCTGAGGGTTCGCTGGAAAGGTTAGACCTTCTGGAATCTAGATTTGAAGAAATATTTCCGACATCTTGCATACTGTTCT